GGCGTCATTCAGCCAGGTTTCCATGAAACAGGGCAGCAGAGTTTGAAAAATCCTTATATTTCCAGGAGAGCAGAAGGAGTTTGTCCATTTTGTTGGGTAGAGAGCGGAGATTCGCCAGATGGATGCTAGGCAGCGCTGTTTGAAATCTGCACTGTCTAAGCTTAATGAGCACGCCAGCTCGCTTCCCCGTCTGCGTGTCCTGAAGCATCTGAACAGCGTGTTTTTAACAAAAACACTAAAACAGCTGGAGAGCCAAGCACCGGGGCTGCCATGTGTGGCGCCATCTTGCCAAAAGACCAATTTTCCAAAAGACCAATTACTGTTGCATCTTACCACAGAGGTTGGTACCTTCAGTGATGTTTGACTGTTGACTTGCTTTATTATTTTCCATGATTCTACATTCTAATTTCACAGATGCTGGTGTTCTTGTGTATACATATGATTTCCAGCACCGGCCAAGTATATTCAAAGATCTCAGACCCAGCTTTGTGAAAGGTGACCATGCTGATGATATTGGATTTGTTTTTGGGGCCTGCTTTTGAGATGGCCATATCAAAGTAGGTATGCAAATCTAAGAACTTGTTTGTCCTGGCAAATTATTATGATACTGGGCGTTTATACTGGACAAATTTCCATGGGGTAAGGGTATAATGGTTTGAAACGTCAAATGATTGAAACAGAAATGAAAATAGTAAAGTGGTGATGTAGTTATGGATATCAACTATTTGGTTATGGATATCATCTCTCCACAGGAATACCCCTGAAGAGGAAAACCAGCTATGAACAACTGTCATGGGATACTGGGCTAACTTTATTCATGCTGGGTGAGTGGTGCATCAGTTGCTGGACAGAGTATTAGGATCTGTTACTGATGACCTTTTATTCCTTAAATAATTATTTTGTTTCCACAGCTCTCCAAATGATCCCAGTCTTGTGCACTGGCCTGTGTACACAGCAAATTTGAAAGTGTTAAATTGACACTCAGAGTGAGAAAATTAACACTTTTTCGGGGTTTATATAGGTCCACACTAAATAGAGTTAAACTAACACTTTAAATAGTGTTACTTTTTTTTTACACTTGCATAGAGTAAAAACAACACTGTAAGTGTTCACCGTTAACACCATTAGTGTTTTCCCTCCCCCTCATTTACACCAAGTTAGTGTTGAAACTACACTACGTGTGTCAATATCTTAACACCAAGAGACTTATTTCCACACTAATATAGTGTTCATACTAACCCTGATTAAGGTAATTAAGTGTAATCTGTATTCGACTAAAAATACCTGTGCATTGTGTAAAAAAAAACAAATAAAGTCAACACGCTGTATCAGTTTGAAATTTTATTTTTAACACAGATGTAACTATTACACCAAACACAGAAGGTACAATATATTCACCATCATCTGACCCATATAAACACTGCAGATCAAAAGGCCTGTAGAACAAGCTGTTGGCTTTTGACACCAGGGCTTCCTCGTAGGACAGGTTGAAGACAGTGAACTTTAAAAAGTTCAAAGGCACTCAAGGAGCTGGTTCCAACGCAAGGGATGAGGCGCTTGTCCACAACGACGTAAAAGTGGTTGATCCTGCCCTTAATCCTTCCTGATCTCAGTAGGAATGGCTGGTGGCCCTCCCTCCTGCTGAGAC